GACGTTTCGGTCTAATAAACCATCTTCAGGACATATTCATAAAATATAATTAACATTATCAATTCAACATGACAAAGACGATGTACATAAGAACAAGACTTACCCAAACAGATAACTGAAAGTTTTATAAGATCATCGCTCCGACAATGTGACCATGTTTTAAAACGTGAAACTCGAGGTTACAACTCGGGCTATATATATATATATATATATATATATATATATATATATATATATAAGGAACGGTTTATATGTTTGGCATAGAAGATTGTCCATATTTCGATATATTTTTGTATGTTGGGGGTAATCATTCTTTCTGGCATGCATTACTCATGTTTGGTGTTGATATTTACCAATCTTATTCTTTGACAAAATGTTTTCAAATCATTCGTCTCTCTTATCCCAGAGAAAGAGACAGAACGATTTCTTTTTTTCTTTATTCGTCTGCCTCATTCCGGATAAATTAACCCCAGTGTACTTTGTTCTCTGACGGTGAATTGTGATTTCAAAGAATAAAAACGAAATAAACAAATACCGAAGATCTCTATCAACGGAATTCGAGAATTCTTGAAACAAGCAATATAATTCAAAGAATGAGGCCGGGTGGGGGTACAAATTGATAGAAAAATATATCACTAGTGTTAATCTTTCCATATATATATATATATATTCAAAAAATGGTACCACAGTAATAACTTCAACGAGTCTTCTGCTATACTAAATAAAACAAGACTCGAACATTGTAATTTAAACGACGTTTTGCACATGAAAGTTTGACTTTGTGGTCAGAGTATTGAGTGTTAGCTTTGAAAATCTCAGTATAAGGATTAATATTTCTCATCAACCCAATCGTATTCGATGACTTTCCATATATATATATATATATATATATATATATATATATATATATATCACTGCCGTGCGCCAATGACTTAGGGGTGGAATCTCCGACTGACGCCAATTCAGCCTAGTTTCGATCCTAGCTCAAGGCAACCGGACGTCTAGCCACACTGATGAGCTGTAATACAGCGAAACAGTCCGTCTGTGGATGAAAATACACATACATACATACACACACACACACACACAATATTTATATATATATATATATATATATAATATAATATTCTCTTTTTAAAAATATGATTCCATCGCGACACAGAAAATTTCGATGTCTCAAAACTGAAACTAAATTTATAAATTTAATTATTAAAATTAAACTCAAAGTCCATAGTCTCGCTAAAGACGCTAGAAAAATGATGGGCTCCTTATACCAATCCAGACTCCTCCTGCTATGCTCTGTCTTTAAGAGAATCGAATCCGATCAAAAATTGAGTATTACCGTCATATCTGTGTTGGAGTTGCCCAATCCTCTCTTTTCATAGTTGAAAAGCGTTTATGCAGCCATCTTTTTAAAAAGAAATTCATTGAGGGAACGTCTACAATCCTACCCAGAGACGCAACGTCGCAAAAATCTCCTTTAACCGTCGTTACTTCCATGGAAAATATTCTGATGAATTACATTCACCTGTTCAACCAGTTCAGACCTTTACAGCTAAGACTTCTCATGCTATATACACAAGGTTGAACCATCATCGTATTTCACTGGTAAAGATGAAGTTCAATTCGTAGAGTTTCTTACCAAACGTTGCTATTTTAATGGACAGTCTCCCAAGAGGATTTTTCCCGAACAATCTTAACCCCTTAAAGTCTAAGGTCAATTATTGACTTTTAAATATGAAGAGGAGACTTCAAGAAACAGAAATGTGGTTCTACAGAAGGATGCTGAGAATACCATGGACCGAACATGTGAGCAACGAAGAAGTTTTTGAGAAGAAACAAAAATGAAACAACACTTAACACCAAGAAGAGACAGTTGAGGTTTCTAGGGCATATAATTGAGAAGGAGGGCTTGGAAAATCTGATACTCACGGGGCAGATAGAGATCAAGAGAGATAAAGGAAAACAACACATAAAATCATACTTATTATAAAACTCAGGTTGTGTTTGTGTGTCTGTTCTTTTCAACCGATTTCAACAAAACTTCACAGGACTACATAAAATTGCCTTGCGGTGGTTCTGACACAATTGTTTTTGCAATTTAAAAACAGAATTAAGAGGCATCGCTGTCGCGAGAATGGGGACAACTCATATCGAGTTATACTTATTATAAAACCCAGGTTGTTTGTGTGTGTGTGTGTGTGTGTTCGTTTATATATGGGATCGATTTCCTACATTTTTCAAACCGATTTCAACAAAACTTCATTTTTTTGGCAGGTAGTGTTTCTTATTGTCTTGCACAATTTTTTTTTTTATTTTTACATTCAGAATGCTTTAAAATTCCATTTACAAGACAATTGTTTATAATAAAATTCTCTTCAATCGGTAGACTCATAACGATTGAAAACAATGTTTTTGTTTGAGTTTCGGTTTGACCAATTCGTAAAAAAAAAAAAACTAATTAAGACATGAGTGTCCGTCAACCTTAAACAATAATCTTTATCAATTTTATTTTTCAGGCTTTATGGTGGTCGATACTTGATCTATCTCTTACTGTTACATCCCCGGGCAACGCCGGGTTCTACTGCTAGTACTTAATAAGCTTGAGTGGCGAAACAGGGATTAGGAGAAATAACAGAAAGACATAGTTTCATTAAGAGCTGCAGGAGACAGGAAGTTGTGGAGAGCCATGATCGCCTACGTCCTGTGGGGACACAGCACATAAAGATGAAGACTGCTTAGCGGCGATCAACGGGTTAAAGTTGCCATAAAAAAAAAACAACATAAATTTCGATCAGAATATCCCAAACGTTTTCAGGATGCCGATGCATGCTACAAATATTGGTTGAATATTAGTATTAAAAAAACCCTTTAAAACCAAGTAGAACACGACGCAGTTCCAACTTTGCAACAAAAATATTAAACACTATTTATTTGTTAGATTGTTTTCCAAGAATAATTTTATATTTACAACATTCTAAGAATGCGATTTGTAGGAAAATTAAATAAAATCAATAAGTAAAATAACAGGAAACAACATAAGTAAAAAGAAATACATTTCTTGTGATACCAGAAATAAAGGAAGCAGAAAAGGCTTTGATCATTTGCACAATTTTATGACCACACTTTTGAATAGGACAGAATTGCGCTCTCTTTCCACTTTCCAATGCATAGTGTTCGGATCTGTTTTGCAGCTCCACTGATGAAGTATGAACAACCTTTACTTTGGTTGTTCCAACTCAGCGCAAAGCTGACTTGAGCTTGGCCATTATAACCATTCATATCATTATTTACTTCTGGGCCAGAAAAATAAAATGGACATACCCAAGAGACACTGAGAACTCTGTTTCCCAAAAGTTTCTATATAAAAAAAAAGAATAACTGTTCGGTAGTAGAAACTTAAGTTTTCATTGCTTCTACATTACTTGTTTATATTTAAACATGTACAAACATACAATAAACCAATATGCAATCTTTAAATTCCATAATCCCATTAAAGTTAAAAGGGTAAACAGCATCAGTGCGAAATAGTTGCATTGGATTTAAAACTGCATCACAATCTGAAAAAATATTGTATTCAAGGCTATGATTTTTCATTGAAGCAGTGAAAATGCTCTAAACATATCAAGTATTAATCCTGTAGACACCTTAGGGATTTTCAAGACTATAACCTCACCATACTAAGATGATACGGTATGCCATTAAAATATTCTAACAATCTATTGTCTAAATGGCATGAATCGTTACGTGGTAGGTTTAAATTCTATAAAAAGACAAATATTTCCATCCACTTCCATTTTCTCCAAGATGTAACAGGACATAGATGATGATGTCCCCACTGTGGAACATTTCTTTTCCCTGGTCAACTGATGACTGAACCCGCTTTCCTCTTTCCAACACATAGTATAAGGATGTGTTTTGCAGCTCCACTGATGAACTTAACCTTTACTTTGGGTGTTCCAACTCATCGCAAAACTGCTTTGAGCTTAACGATTATAACCCTTCTTGTCATTCTTTACTCTAACTTTCTTCTGAACCAGAAAAGAAAACAAACATACCCAAGAGACACTTAGAATTCTGTTTCCCTAAAGTTTATCTAAAAAAGAATAAATGGTCCATAGTAGAAACCCAAATTTTCATTGCTTCTATATTAATTATTTATATTTGAACATGCGCACATCTACAATACACCAACACGCCACCTTAAATCCCATAGATCCAACTAATACAATGTAATGTTTATCATTTACCAACTTATAAAGAAATAAATATGAAAACATTTTTGTTATATAGGAATAAAGTGTCGCTGCCGACACTTGAGTTTCAACATAGATCGCCAGTGAGCAAACACAGGCGATCCTATTATTGAATTAAATAGATCACGTGACCATATAGGAAACACACATATATATATATATATATATATATATATATAGGAAGTCGCGTGACGTCTAGATTGATCGTTATTTCCCGTCTATCCTCTGTTACTATACGGATCCTCATTTTTAGTCTATCCTCTATTACAATACGGCCCGCTAGTCTCTATTCTATTCACTATAATATTTCTCTATTCAAATCACTATACGGTGATTACTATTCGAGCGAGTATTATCGAGCAAGTACTATTAGTGCGAGTTACAACGGCCATCAAGTTGTTTAGAACCATGTTCGCCGGTGACCTTAAGTTATATGGTACGTAAAGGAAAGGAAAAAGAAACCATAAGTTAAAACGCGTTTAAATCAGTTGTGTTAGAGGTGAATTTGATGACTTTTAAAAAATTCAACAATTTTTTCATGAATGATTCTTTTTGTTTCTTCTTTATTGAGACGAAAGAAAATATTCGGACTTCAAACACATTATTTATTTTCCACAAATATTAAAACTGTTTTGTTTTGTTTTATTAAATTATAATCATTTTTATCGAGCCACATCAGACGCTTCCAACGTAATCGTTCGAATTTAATTATAAATCGATTTTAAGGATGCCGCTTTCGAATCTATGAACACTGTTCGTATCTATCTATCTATCTATCTATCTATCTATCTATCTATCTATTCCTGTTCGTATTCATCTAAGTCTATACATGTCTATCTATCTATCTATCTATCTATCTATCTATCTATCTATCTTTATCTACATATCAATATATCTTAGTCTACATCTCATCTTATGTGTTCGTATTCATCATTCATCTATCTATCTATTCATCTATCTATCTATCTATCTATCTATTATCCATCTATCATCTATCATTATCTATATCTATCTAAGTCTATATACATGTCTGTCTGTCTGTCTATCTATCTATCTCTTTTAGTCTATATATAATCTATCTCATTATATCTATCTATCTATCTATCTATCTATCTATGTTCGTATCTATCTATCTATCTAAGTCTATACATGTCTGTCTGTCTGTCTATCTATCTATCTATCTCTTTTTGTCTATACATATCAATCTATCTCAGGCTATATCTATCTATCTATCTAGCAAGCTAGCTAGGTAGCTAGCTCGCTCAATCTAATGTATTTAACTTTTTTTTTACTAATGTTCACCCTATACAAAGTCCAATTGCCATTTAATATACAGGGTTACTGAAGGCGGTTGTTGTGTGAGCTGTTATATTAACGGGCGCTGTTTTATGCGAATGTGTGGGAAAATATAACAGTTAACCCTCGACATGAAGAGGTTAAGATTGTATAGGACTAAAAAGCATCCTCCTGGGTTTCTTCAGAAGCTGAGTGGAAATTACTCCTCGCTCAAAAAATAAGAAGGAGGGTGGTTCGCCTCAATTTACGCGACGTGGCGGGTTTTAGCTGGGTGGGTTAGAGTTGGGGGAAAGTAATGAATGTAACTCGTTTGAACATTTTCCATGGAAATAGCGGTGAGTAGCGAACAGCTTGCAAAGTTTCGTCTATGGGAAAGGCGTTGTAAGGTAAAAAAAAATTCATCACCCACAAGGTCCCGTAGACACATTTGTACTCCATGAAGACTGGAAAGTGAACAAGACGCAGTTCCAATCCACATATGGCACACCGTACTTCCTTTTCGGTATGATCTATCTTACTTATTATAAAACGCAGATTTTGTGTGTGTGTGTGTGTGTGTGTGTGTGTGTTCGTTTATATACGGGATCGGATTTCCTACATTTTTCAACCGATTTCAACAAAACTTCACAGGACTACGTAAAATTACCTTGCGGTGGTTTTGACAGCGCCAAAAATTGGAAAAACACAATTGCTTTTGCACTAAATCAATTTGAAAACACGATTAAGAGGCATCGCTGTTTCGAGAATGAAAGGGGGACAACTCATATCGAGTTATACTTATTATAAAACCCAGGTTGTGTGTGTGTGTGTGTGTGTGTGTGTGTGTGTGTGTGTGTGTGTGTGTGTGTTCGTTTATATACGGGATCGGATTTACTACATTTTTCAACCGTTTTCAACAAAACTTCACAGGATTACGTAAAATTACCTTGCGGTGGTTTTGATAGCGCCCCCCAAATTGGAAAAACACAATAGTTTTTGCACGAAATCAATTTGAAAACACTATAAAACACGATTCTGTCGCGAGGAGAATGGAAGGGGCCCTCATATCGAGTTATACTTATTATAAAACCCAGGTTGTGTGTGTGTGTGTGTGTGTGTGTGTGTGTGTGTGTGTTCGTTTATATATGGATCGGATTTCCACATTTTTCAACTGATTTCAACAAAACTTCACATTTTTTGGCAGGTTGTGTTTTTATTGTTTTGCACATTTTTTTCTTTTATTTTTACATTCAGAATGCTTTAAAATTCCATTTACAACACAATTGTTTATAATAAAATTCTATTCAATCGGTAGACTCATAACGATTGAAAACAATGTTTTTGTTTGAGTTTGGGTTTGACCAATTCGTAAAAAAAAAGAAAATAAAATAATTAAGACATGAGTGTCCGTCAACCTTAAACAATAATCTTTGTCAATTTTATTTTTCAGTCTTTATTATGGTCGATACTTGATCTATCTCTTACTGTTACATCCCCGGGCAACGCCGGGCTCTACTGCTAGTTGCTTATAAAGGTAGAGCATAGCGAGAAGGGACAGGTAATTCCTGGAGTGGTGCAAAGAACCGACCATTTTTCTAGCATCTTTAGCGACGGATCGTATATACGAGTTCCAGGTGGTCTGGGGTGAGCTTATGTTCCAATAGGCAAGAGACTTCTTTAAGACAGCGATAGGCGGAAATTCACGGATTGCTTGGTGTTGATGAAACATGGCAAGTTTTTTTTTTTTTTTTTGAGGTATTGATGGGACCAGCCAGTTTTTTTTTTTTTTTTTTTTTTTTTTATCCCCATTGAGTTATTAAAACTATGTCAGATATAACTCGTCTAATCCTGCGTCTTTCGTCGATTTGTTGTCTCCTGCCTCAGCGCTACCAAAAACCTAGTGGTCTTGGCGTCAGAGTTTTCAGGTATGAAGCACTCGCAGACGTGGCAAATTCTTTGTCTCTGCTGAAAACCAATTTCACAACACAAACTCTGTTGATAATTAACAACGGGTTTAATGAAAACAAATAGAAGAATTTAAAAATGCACAAGGTGTAAAGAATTATTAATCTTTCTATGCAGCCTGGTTGAATATTTTTCGACAGGAAAAATATTCTAGCAGTAATTCGTAATAATTTGAATGACCTCGGTATTGGCAATGGCTATCTGGTCTGAATATGTTGGTGGCAGAAACAGTAGCAGTAGAAGCATAAGGGGAGATTTATCTTGTCATCTGCGCCGTGTCTCTCAATTTCTCTCTCTCTCCCCCCTCTCTCTCTCTGACTCGGCCTTGAGTCCAAGCCGGTATATATAAGAAAATAGCGCACCTCCAGCTTTGATTTATTGCATGTTTTTCGATAAGATATGACCTTTCTTTGTTTAATGGCTTTTCGTGGAATGCGGTGTGGTCAAGCCTCTGACAATATAAACAATTTTTGGGATCTGATAATATTTTAAATAAACATGGCAAGAATTCTTTGTAATTTGGAAATTTTTCGACCATGTAACCTGTCATACTTTTTCTTTCTTTCTTTCTTTCTTTCTTTCTTTCTTTCTTTCTTTCTTTCTTTCAACATATTTTTCTTGTTCTTTCAGTTTCATTCTTTGCTATTTTCTCACACGTTATTATTTTCTTTCTCTCTTTTCCACACCTCTCACGTCTTCTTTCTTTTTCCGCTTATATTTTCATATTTCTTTCTTTCTTTCTTTCTTTCTTTCTTTCGTCATATTTCTTTATTTTTTTCAACTCCTCTATAATTTTTCTTTATTTCTTTTTGTCTCTTTTCTTTCTCTCTTTCTATTTCTGTTTTCTTTCTTTCTTTCTTTCTTTCTTTCTTTCTTTCTTTCTTTTCTTTCTTTCTTTTTTTACTCCTGAAATCTTTTCTTTCTTTTTTTTTTCTTTTTTATTCTATTCCGTTCATCTTTCTTTTCTTTCTTTCTTTTCTTTCTTTCTTTCTTTTTTCTTTCTTTTTTCTACTCCTGAAATCTTTCTTTCTTTTTTTCTTTCTCTTTTATTCTATTCCGTTCATCTTTCTTTCTTTCTTTCTTTCTTTCTTTCTTTCTTTCTTTCTTTCTTTCTACTCCTGAAATCTTTCTTTCTTTTTTCTTTCTCTTTTATTCTATTCCGTTCATCTTTCTTTCTTTCTTTCTTTCTTTCTTTCTTTCTTTCTTTCTTTCTTTCTTTCTTTCTACTCCTGAAATCTTTCTTTCTTTTCTTTTTCTATTTTATTCTATTCCGTTCATTTTTCTTTCTTTCTTTCTTTCTTTCTTTCTTTCTTTCTTTCTTTCTTTCTTTCTTTCTACTCTTCTTTCATATTTCTTTCTTTGTTTTTTTCTTTCTTTCACTTTCTGTCATTTACATAACCTTGTGGATTTACTCAAATGCATTTATTGTTTCAATTATTTGTATCGCTTGTATTATCTTTCCCACACTTTCGGAAAATAAATGAATTCTACAGAACATCCATACGTCATTCCAACGAATATTCATCATATCACATCTGTGTGGACATAACTTTGGCTTCCAAAACAAATCTTTTCAGCAAAGTCTTTTAATTTGACACTTATATTCTAGATCAGAGAACATGTAAACAAAAACATATTTAACCATTGAATGTTTTTCGTTAAGAGCACTCATCTTAAGATGATAAGTCTTGTTTCTTATTCAGTAAATCTTCTCTGAGGTCATCCATATCATCAACGCGATACATATTAATGCATCTGGACTTGGTTCAGAGATTTTGATTGGAGCGTTTTATAATTAAGAACCGAGTTAAAAAGCTGAAAAAACATTGTCTTTTTATTATGAAAACCATTATCTTTTCAAGTAGCTTTGCTCATATTGTGTAACGTTTGAGTGGTGTAAGGTGGAATATCATAATTAAACAAACTCGAAATGTCTTTCTGAAATAGAATTATTTCAATTTTTATTTGCCATTTCATTTTTCACAGTGACTTTCATTTCGTCATTTATTTGTTTGAGAAACTATCATTTACTTTTCTTCACCAATTCCGTGTTATAATTGGACATTTTAAAATCTGATACTAATAGTGAATTCTTTTTTTTTTTAATACTTTTTGTCCAGGTTTTTCTATTTTAGATTGTTTTATTCATTTTCTTTCTTTTTTAATTCTTTCTTTCTTTACGTTCATGAATTTTTTTCATTATTATTTTAATGTTCTTGCATTCATTCATTTTTCTTTCTTTCTTGTTGTTCATCAAATTTTCTTTTTTAATCATTATTCTTAATGTTTTCTTTCTTTCTCCTGATCAAATTTTCTTCCTTTATTATCTTTACTTTTCTTTTTTCTTTTTTCTCTCTCTTTCTTTCTTATCTTATGTAACTTTTATTTTATTCTTTATTTCTTTCTTTCTTTTGATCAAATTTTCTTCCTTTATTATCTTTACTGTTCTTTGTTTCTTTTTCGCTTTCTTTCTTTCTTTTCTTATGTTGCTTTTATTTTATCCTGTCTTTCTTTCATTTGATCAAATTTCTTCCCTTATTATTTTTACTGTTCTTTCTTTTTTTCTTTCTTTCTTTCTTATGTTGCTTTTATTTTATTCTGTCTTTCTCTCTTTCTTTCTTTTGATTAAATTTTCTTCCTTTATTATTTTTACTGTTCTTTCTTTCTTTCTTTCTTTCTTTCTTTCTTTCTTTCTTTCTTTCTTATCTTGTGTTGCTTTTATTTTATTCTTCCTATCTTTCCTTTGATCAAATTTTTTTCCTTTATTACCTTTGCTGTTCTTTCCTTCTCTCCCCCTTTCTTTCTTATCTTATGTTGCTTTTATTTTGTTCTTTCTCTCTTTCCTTCTTTCTTTTGATCAAATTTACTTTCTTTATTATCTTTACTGTTCTTTCTTTCTTTCTTTCTTTCTTTCTTTTCTTTCTTTCTTTCTTTATTATTCCCTATTTTATTATTTTGCTTTTATTTTTCTTTCCTTCTCTTGATCAAATTATCTTTCTTTCTTTTCTTATTTTGTTTTCTTTCTTTCTTTCTTTCTTTCTTTCTCTTTTATTCTATTCCGTTCATCTTTCTTTCTTTCTCTTTTATTCTATTCCGTTCATCTTTCTTTCTCAGTTATTTCTCTATTTTTCTTTCATTTTTATCTTTATTTTGATTTCCTTCCCTTTCTTTCTTGTTGCTATGATTTTCTTCTCTTCCTATTCTTTACTTTCTTCCCCTATAATTTTTCTTTCTTTTAATTTTTAATACCGAATTTAACCACCATTATTTCTTGATCCTTTCTTTTTTTTTTGTTCATTTCATTCGAATGCCAACGGCAAAATCTCTTGCTAACAACACTCGCTGTTATTATCTCAGCTTTATACGGAATATTCCTAGAAATATAACGCTAAACTGACTGGCATCGGCCATTAGTACTGTTCAGTGAGTCCTCCAATCTTTCTTGATCAGTGGTCGGCCAGCGACAGATGCAAACAGTAACATATTTCAAACGTAAAACCTGCTCTCTTTTACCAGCTTGAGCCTCGGGCAACATGTACGTATGGCGCAGGTACGTTGACTCAGGAGAAAAAAAAAAAGATAAAATTGAAATGAACTAATGAACATAGATTATTTTGAGAGAACATCAGGTTATATGTTAGCGTGCCCAATCTTAGTTGTTGCATATGCAAGTGTTCATCTGAGTTAGACAGTTAATTGACGACCCGTGCTTACGCATGCGCGTGCGTCTATTCCAACATAAATGCATATGCGCACATGCGTCGACGTTTTAAAATTGATTGATCTCTTGTGATATCTTTGAGTCGTCTGCTGGGCGAAGAAACACACCATTACGTCATCATGTACTGGCTGACATAGTCTACTGATAAAGTAGGATAATGTATTCATGATATATAAATATACGTACATATGTATATGTATGCAGAGGTTCTTTCGTAGTATCCTATAATAGTGGCCAGTGTTCGAGACGAGATAATAATCTGTATTTCCAACGCTGGTTTTCAAAGTAGAAAGGAAGGCCCTACGCAGATATTTTTCCAACAATGTCGGTTTTACAAGGTGAACGTTGCTTAATTTGTCTCTAACTAGATAGCTAGATATGAACACGCACGCACACACACACATATATGCGTGTTTATGCTATTAAAAAAAGCCAATAATTTTTAGATATGTGTGTCTGTATATATATATGAGTGTGTATGTGTATCGCATATTTATATATATATATATATATATATATATATATATATATATATATTTAGTATTTGCAGCATTTTTCATTAATGTATTTTCATTAATAATATAGACAAGTTTTGTCTATTTATTTAAGTAAATTCCTTTCACTGGCGATTTTCTTACGTGTTTCTGTGATAATGCTAAAAAGCTTATTCGACAATATGAAAGGAATTTACTTAAATAAATAGACAAAACGTGTCTATATTATTTAATGAAACATGCAATATATATATATATATATATATATATATATATATATATATATATATATATATATATATATATATATATATATGCTGACGTGATAAAAGCGTGAAACCTAGAAACTTACATTCATACAACTAATTATGTTAGCTCCATGACCGATAATGAACGTTTTCCAATAATACCGTATATATATGATATATAAATACACACACACACACACACACACACACACACACACACACACACACACACACACACATACATACATATATATATATATATATGAAGAAAAATATATATACGGAAAAACAAACAAAAAATCCTTATATACAATTATGTTGTTTTAATGTTAATATGTCAACGTCGGACGTTTCGGTCTAAGAAACCATCTTCAGGACATATTCATAAATATAACATTATCAATACAACATGATATATATATATATATATATATATATATATATATATATATATATACATATATATATATATAATGGAAGTGACCTCTTAGAAATTCATTGAGTTGATAATTTATTTCAGGCAGCCATCTCTTAAATGGATTTCTAAGGACTCCGCTTTCATTACTTTTTTTTGTTCTTACATTGAGCTCTTTTTGAATTTATATCCTCCTTGGAATTATCTCTACTAATTATTAAGTGATATCATATATATATATATATATAGTCAAACCTAGAGATCCAGACAAACCTACCAAGGTTTCACCTAAGCGGATCGCCGGGGAAAGCTGGAGCCAGCTTTTCCCCGACGATCCGCTCTAGCTCTGCTCTACTTTTGTATTGAGCACTTTTAACTTAGTTGATTACTCGTATCGTTTTTTTTTCTTTGGGCTTTGGACTTGTATGCTGTACGATTATTTTCGACAGACGTTCATGTTCATAGCTCTTCCTTTTTTTATAACCTTTTTTTTTCTTCGAGATTGATTTGACCATTAGCAAATCAAGAAACCGAAGGTTTTCCGAGACGAGTGTAGTTACCAATATATATATGACGTATGAGGGTCAGGCCGATAAGTCCCCAGGAAACCGACATCCCGACATCCCGACACCGGCACATGAGATTTGATTATAGTGGTGAAGGCCTCGTGCAGGACCAGCCACATTTTTTGGAGGGACGAATACAGAAACCTGGTGCACCGAATGCATGCCACAAGGTTCCCAAACGACCCTCCGCAGGTTTTGAATTCAGAGTTGTCCTTCTCCTAGACCAGTTGCCATCCAAGGCTATAGAACCCAGTCTGTCCTGCTATTTTACCCATAGCTGGAGGGAGATGAAGAGGATACATACCTTTCCCAAGGGTATTAGCACGTAAGTGAATGTAAGGGATATATATATATATATATATATATATATATGTTTCATTAAAACACTCAATAAAATCAATTATGAACATGGCCACAATGTGCTGACAGTGTTTGGAAAATAAAACATTCCTATAACTCTAGATACATACATAAGACAATCTATGCATTCTGTTAAAAGATAAAATAAACTCGTCCCTGATAATGGCTAAAAGTCTAACCTTAAACGCTCGGCCATACAGAACATTCGGACAGTTTCTACATAATTTACGTCCAGAATAGAATAAAAAATATACGAACACAGGCACAATTAAATAACAAACTTAATCGCAGTAAATTGTCAGTCATTTTAAATGAAACGTATAATAGAGGAATTTCTGCTTAAATGCACACGAACACGAGTGGTGCATATATTTTTTAATCATTGCACCCCAAGTAAGGAAATAAAGCCACTAAAACACAAGTGGTTACTGAGTGTTAGAAAATATCAGAAAGAAAACAAAAACCCTTTTAAGGAGAGAGAACAATAAAAGAATATTTATTAAGAAGATAGAAAATAACGATTGATATTGCATTTAAATTTTTGAAGATCAAAGTTGACCGGAAAGCAAGAAGCCGAAAGAGAGTTCCACAAACAAGAGAGAATAAATGTTAGCAGAAACCTTACGGTTACATCTATCCATTTCAACTGTAAAATTCTTAAGGAATCGTAAAAACATTGG